CCAGCCAAGATCCCGTCGTGCTGGGCTGCCTGGCTAAGGATTTCCTTCCGGACTCAATCACTTTCTCCTGGAGAGACAAAACCAGCAACCTCACCAATGCCATGAAGAACTACCCCTCCACCCTGAACACAGTTGGGACCTACTCCACCGTCACTCAGTTATCGCTCTCTGCCTCCAAAGCAGAAGGGATTTTCTATTGCAAAGCCAAGATCCCGTCGTGCTGGGCTGCCTGGCTAAGGATTTCCTTCCGGACTCAATCACTTTCTCCTGGAGAGACAAAACCAGCAACCTCACCAATGCCATGAAGAACTACCCCTCCACCCTGAACACAGTTGGGACCTACTCCACCGTCACTCAGTTATCGCTCTCTGCCTCCAAAGCAGAAGGGATTTTCTATTGCAAAGCCAAACACCCAAATGGGGAGAAGGAAACTACACTCCCAGCATTTCCTCCCTGCTGTAAGTAGTTGTCATTCTCTTCTTCTGGACAATATACACAATAATGTACCAACCCGCATGCAGATTCTGGATAGTATCTAGCTACCCTGGGGAGAGGCTCATCAGAAAAATCACCAATAGATGTATTCCCGAGGGTTTAATCCCCACATCTAGGAGGGGAGCAGGGTCTAGTGGTAAGAGCAGTAAGGACTGTGAGGCAGTACATCTGGGGTCTATCCTGGCTCTGGGAGGGGGATGGGTTCTATTGTGTCAAATCAGGACAGGACACAGAAGAGGACTCTTGAGTTCTCTTCTCAATTTGGGCATTGACTAGTCAGCTGGCAAGATGTTGGCTCCTGCATGGTGGGTCATTCTATTAGCAACCCCGTTCAGCTGAGGGGGTGGAGCTTGTGATTGTGGGTGGAGCTTATACATGGGATACCCCTCTGCAGTCTGAGCAGTGTAGTGGAAACTGGTGTGGGTGGCAGCCCAGTTCAAATATTGGCCAATAGCAGGACCCATCCAATGGAAAGGAAGAGACACAGGCCCTGAAACTCCCCTACACACCCGATCACCTTTGTGCATTCATTCTGCACTCATAATGGGTGCCATGTTTATGTGTGATAAATCTGTCACCCCCACCCTTTGTTTTTGTCTTGCAACTTAGCCCCCGAGAAAAGCATCATGAACATATACCCCCCGGCCAGAGACCAATTCCTGGAGCCCTATAAAAATTCCTCCATCACCTGCATCGTGAAAAATGTCTGCGGCTCGACTCTGACCTTCAAGTGGCTGAAGGACGGGGTGTTGGTCAAAACTGATGAAGTCACTGACTCCAAAACCTTCCACAGCCATCTGACCGTCACTGAGAAAGAATGGGACGGTGGTCACAAGTACAGCTGCAAGGTGGAGGGCAAGAATTTCAGTGACTCCAGGAACACGAGCAAGGTTTTTGAATGCGGCGGTAAGTCACCTGTCCTTCTGTCCTTCTCTGAAATGAATCAACCCCTGCCTCCACTCAGGGGATGTCCATGGAATCCCAGTGCTGAGGGAGTGAGGGATTTTTTCAAGTGCTCATCACCTGTAGATAAGGGAAAATTTTCCAAAAAGCATCTCTCCCAGCTATCCCTTCTGAAAAATGTGGCCTTAACTCTGCCCTCACTCATCCCCCACGTCCTTGATTATTTTGATCAGCACGGATCTCCATGAGACATTGTGGTTAGGGTATGTCTTAGCACCTCTGTCCTCGGTTCCCCATCAGTACCATGAGAATCATAAGGGTTCCCGATTTAATTAAACAATAGGCAACTGGGCAAGAGACAAGACCTCTA